CAACAGTCAACATTGTAACCTTTGGCATATCAATATTATTGTAACCTAACCATCACATGTTATTGATATCGACTCTTATTGATTAATTTTATCTTGTATACATTCTGAAATGTTTACAGATTTCATTGTTTTTTAGTTGGGACATAAAAAGTCTCATACAAAGTTGCCACACTAAAAAAAATGTTATCATAGTTGAAATATTAACAAACATGTTTAGTGGATTGCATAACGACATCTAATCTAATACCTACAGTACATATTGAACTAAATGATACAACAATGTCCTGTTTAAAAGCTATGGATACACACAATTATGCAGAATTTAAACAGTAGATAAGGACTGAAATATCCGTCAAAGTACAAGAATATATGTCAATAACCATTTGATATAACTAACTCGACTTTTATAAGTAAAGATAGATAGTGGCTAGCAGTGGAATCCAGGACGCGCGTTTCGTCCTATTTGGGACTCGTCAGCTGGATGTACCTACAACTCAGAGTTGATGTTCACTCTGAGATTCGAACCAAGGACTCAATACCTATGTGGATTACACGATGGCGTTTGAAGGGAAAGGTACTGGGTTTTGAATCCCAGAGTGAACAATAACTCTGAGATGCAGGTACATCCAGCTGACCAATCCTAAATGGGATGAAATACGCATCAAATTGGATTCCACCGATAACCACTATCCATCTTTGTTTAGAATGATTGTGAATTAAGACAATATCCAAGCAATCCGTACAGGATGCACATATGCCAATAAGAGACTGATCAATTGCTGTCCTAATCATTTATGGGAAAATACAAGTAAAATAATACCAAGTGAATTAAGGCTTCTTATGTGATTATTATTATATCTGAAATTACCTCCATTGGAATAATATGAAATATAACTTGTTCTGTTCTTTTGATCTCAATTATTTTAATAATTTGGCGGAAACCTGGAGAACTATGAAAGCCATCATCCAGAAGATACAGGTGTTTATTAACAGTTGTCCACGCAAAACACTTCGGATCCATTGGCCAGACATTATTAGCAACAACCTACTGTGTGAGAGAACAAACCAGATCCCATTTGAGGAAGAAATCAGAAAGAAGTGGATAGGACACACATTGAGGAAATCATCCAACTGCGTCACAAGACAAGTCCTCACATAGAATCCTCAAGGTCAAAGTGGGTGAAGAGGAAGATCGAAGAACACATTATGCCATGAAATAGAGACAGACATGAGAAAAATGTACAAAAATTGGATAGAACTAGAAAGGAAGGCCAAGGAAAAAGTGTATTGGAGAATGGTGGTCGGCGGCCTATGCTCCATTGGGAGTAACAGGCGTAAGTAAGTAAGTAATTTTAATGAATTAATTTTAAACAATCACAATGATTGAGACTCAAACAAACATAAAATCAATAATCAATATCCTACTAACCCAATAGATATATACTTTATCATTTTCCTCATATTCACTTGTCAACTGACAAAAGCTTTATTCGGTATATTGATTTGTTTATTATTTATGTATGCTTATATATATATATATATATATATATATATATATATTTATAGGGTGTATACATTACATTGTATAACCCTATCCATTGTTACCATATAACTTACCTAGTCAAACTAATCTAGTTATTGGAAATTGAGTATAATTACATTTATATATATATATATGTCTACATACAGTATGACAACATATTTTGCAAGTTTCACCATAGTTGGAAGTATACATACTATGGGTACAGTAATAATTTAATAGTATAGACTATTAATAATATCCTTCTTGTGAGATAGATTAATTCATATTGTAAATTAGGTTAGTCAAAATGACATTTAAAATTGAGTATAGTGATTTTAATAATTGTAAATCTAAGAGGGATTTTGTGGATATTATAGTCAGTCAGCAGTTGAATTCATGAGTCAATTGAAGCTAGATCATCATGAGAAAACCTAGAAGCACTGGATGGCTGTTTCGTCCTGTTTTAGGACTCCTCAGTAGTGTGTATCCACGATCTCACCTCGCAAGATTCGAACCCTGGACTTTTCGGTCTCATACGCGAACGCCTAACCTATAGACCATTGAGTTGGCTGGCATCCAGTAGTGTTAATGTCAAACTTCAACTAATCCACGAAATTGAGCGACACATCCACCATTATCATCAGTGAGTTACTATCTCACAACAGACCCGGTTGAACTCCACTGGTCACTGATTCTCAGTAAAACTCTAGGAGAACATATTTTAAGAATAATCAGAGGGGGGTCACAATAACTTAACCGAATTATATCCAAGTGTTATATATTCTAATATCCCCATTTTTCAACTACATACTCTATAAAATTAATGCCGAATTATGTCAGATTATTCATTTTTTGAGGAGTTGGTGATAGTAGTAGATAAAAAGTGATAGGGTTAGTTTTCAATTAAATTGATATTTATCACCAAGATGTATCTTCAGTCTTAAAGGAACTGATATTACTCATCTGTCCCATATAGTCTTCAAGTCAGAGATGTTATGATTCAGATAAATGAATGTGATGTATGGACACCGATTATCCCTAAAAATGTCCATGGAGATATCACCCTATTTAGACCTGTGGCCATATTACAACTTAACTGACATTTGTAGACATGTAAAAAAAAGTTGACAAGAAGACGAAATCAGGAAATATGTTCTTTCTTGGTGACATGTCATTATATGGTATATATTGATAAAAAAATAATGAAAAAGTTCTTCATAGCAATGAATCATGATTAATTTCATTTTCATTCACGAAATTGAGCAAACATCTTCCATTATACTGAGGTAGATATCTGCCTCTACCCGACTCGGATTAGCTCCACTGGTCACGGTTTCTCATTAGAACTTCGAAAATTCCCTTATGAAGCTAGTCACTGGTAAGCACATGGTAATTATTAGTATGAGGTTTGTGTAAGCCGTGATAATTGGAATTAATCTGTGTCTGGTAGAGACAAGTATCTGCCTCAGTACAAAGGAAGACGGTTGCGCAATTTCGTGGATTGAGAATAGACATTACCAATGTATGAGACCGGCTCAGTGGTCTGGAGGTTAAGCGTGTGCGAGTGAGACCGGAGGCTCTTGGTCCGAGTTTCACAAGTGGGACCATGGATGAGGAGTTCCACAGTAGGACAAAACGGCCGTCCAGTGCTTCCAGGTTTTTAATGATGGTCAAACATCAATAGGTTCATGATCTCAATCAAAAACTTAATAATCTTCACAACCCCATACTGATTTATATTTTATTACCAAACAGGTTAAAAGATTGCACTTCAATATCATATACACTTTGATGAAGTATCCTAAAGACTCTGAATTAATCAAGTGATTTACACTAAAGTATCAGCAGCTTATTTTGCTGATACAAAGTATATCGGAAAAAACTATTTTCTAAACAATTCTTACTACTTACAAGTAGACAAAAGAATTGAACGAAATTCTAACCGATGAGCATGCTTCTAATCTACAGTAATGAAAGATCTAAAGAACGAACGATAAGTTTCAACTAAATTGAGATTAAACTCGTTCTTATCTCTTAACTTCACTTCCTGTATGTTGACCTTGTTTGTTTCATGTACCTTTTTAGTTATTAAAACTCTCTAGTTTAACTCAACTTCAGATGTTTAAATGTCTGATGAAGTTTTAAGGTATAATGTTGCTTTTTAACAACATCCTACTTGTGTTATTCGTTTTTGTTTCATTCTCAATGCTTCATTACTTTCTTCATCTTGTTATAAAGTTTCATTTGCATGTCTTTTGATTTACTCATTCATATAGTGGTACATTTGTCTCCACTGAAATATAAATCCCACCCAACTCTGTATGTGATCACTGAGATAACAGTGATATACGGAGTTTAATGTGAAATGTGTTGTGCATGTGCATACTTTAGGTATTTTTATAAGCAAAAAAATCATAAAAGAAGGCGAAACAGTACAACGCGTTATTTAGATGGATTACGAAATTAATCGACAAGTGGATTGACGCTTCAGTTTATATATAAGTCAAATAAGCAAAGAATCAAATAAACGATAAGCTGATGTATCCAGAATTGTCTTTAAAAAAGTAGTCAGACGTAAAGTCAAGGCTAATTATGTATGAATACACACGATGTAAACGATAAGATTTCAAAGATTCATGCAATGATCCCAAAAGTGCTTGTATCAATTTATCAAATTAATTTATCACTTAATTGTTAATCTAAATAAGTATTCACTATTATCCAAGAGTATGAAGCTGTTACATCCTTGTAAGAACTACTAATTGAATTGCGTACCTGATCTGTAAACAGCGCTTAATATTTACTCTATAAATGATTGTATTCAATCTTACCACAATATCGTATCATATAATTCATGGAATGATTTTTTCTGGTTAACGTTTTCTTAGCGAGTTAGTTTTCTACGGAATGGGGTCGCTAACCCCATGTCCAACCCTCCTCCTTTATCCGGGCTTGGAACCGGCAGTAACTCTAGAAGAGCTACAGGCGGGAGAGAAAAAACCAGCTTCCAGATAAAGAGGAAATTATGAAAAGACGATGGAAATGGATAGGACATACGTTATGCAAATCATCAAACTGCATCACGAGGCAAGCCCTAACATGGAATCCTGAAGGGAAGCGGAAAACAGGAAGGCCATAGCAGATATGAAAAGGATGAATAGCAACTGAAAAAAGCTGGTAAGGATTGCTCAAGACAAGTTTGGATGGAGAATGCTGGTGAGCGGCCTATGCTCCTTTATAAGGAGTAACAGGCGTAAGTAAGTAAGTAAGTAATTCATGAAAGACTTCAATTCAACTATTATTAATCTGTCAAAACAACTCTTTATAAATGAGTAGTTCATAATTCAAAATCCAAACAAATAACAAAGTTAACAAATAGTTACTTCTCCTTTATAAAATACCTAACAGAAAAGAAAAAAAAAGTCAATTCAATTTCACCCAACAGTTCTATTGTATTATCTATTCATACTTTATCATTTCATCTTTCATAGTATTCATCTTCTGTTAATGGAATCACTTTATCAGTACGTTGTAATTTATATTCAAATTCAGCTAATTGTATCATAAAATTCCAACTTGGTTGCATAGGTATACATATCTTTCGTAAATACATCCATGCATCCTACAAAAAAATGAATAGAATTAAATAAATGTATACAATATAGTGAACTTAGTGAGAAAAAAAGAAACAATAAGACAAGATAGAACTAAAATGTTAGACTACCATTGAAAACCTGGAAGCAATGGACGGTCATTTCGTCCTAGTACATGACTCCTCATGCAGGATTCAAACCCAGGATCTTTGACCTTGTGAGTGAATGCTTAAGCTCTAGACCGATTAGTCAGCATCCAAACATGTCAGTTGTGAAGCAGTTGCCCACAAAAGACACTGGAATATGATCGCACAACATCTTGAATTGATTGAAGTTAGACATTAACACCACTGAACGCCTATCCAGTGGCTTAGAGATTAGGGGTTGGCGCGCAAGACTAAAGGTCCTGGGTTTCGGATCCTGAGTGAGGAGTTGTGGATTCGAATTGCTGAAGAGTCCTGAACTAGGATGAAAAGACCGTCCAGTGCCTCTAGCTTTTCAACGGTGATTTAACATTCATCAGTTCATGATCTCAACTACAACTAACTATCAGTAGATTTTTCTATTCACTGATTGATCTCATGGTAATTGTATCTATTTAATAGTTTGTCACTACATATTTTATTTGTAGTGTGATGCCTACTATTCAATAATTTTTTTCAATGTTAAGCTGAAACATTTACTAGTATTTATTCACATTTCAATAAGATTTACATTGCGAGAGTGATAGATCCTGGGTTCGAATCTCATGAGACAGAATCGTGGATGAGCACTGCTGAGGAGTCCCAAAATAGGATGAAACGGCCGTCTAGTGCTTCCAGGTTTTCTATAGTGGTCTAGCTTCAATCCACTAATGACCTCAACTATTGAAATATGTATGTAAATTCTGAATGTATTTACATTATAAAGTGTTAAAGGATGAATAAGGTAAAACTAGTAAATAAATGAGTTTGTTTGAGTTCGATAAAATAACACTAACTAATGGTTTGAAAAATGGAAATGTCTATTTAAAAAGATATTTATCATTAAACCTGACAATGTCTTTTCCTACATGGACTCAAAAGACTCGCTTGATTTTCGCTGACGTGCATCACTTTTAGGGTAGATAAGATTTCCATCTGGCAACTGGAAAGACTAGTATCTTAGAAAGTAATTTATCATGTTCTATACTATAACTATGAAACGCGTCCTTTATTGGTATGTAATCATAGTTATATTCAGATGACTGCTTGCATATGTTGGGACAGTTAAATGAACAATGCTTAGGCTAGACTCTAAGAACCAAGTGAAGATGACAAATTGATCGATAAGGTAGAAAATCTGTGTCGACTGAGCTAGTTGAGTTATGTATAACCTGTGACTAACCGCTCCTAACCTTGATGTGATGTCTGCCGATGTACGGGTAGGTTGAAAGAAAGTTAGTAAACGATAATCCAAAACGTAGCATCAGTCGACAAAGTCATTGGTAATTAAACAAAACAATTTTGGTAGATGCAGAATTCCTGGTTGGTGTCTGTGAGCCCATCATAATCAGTGATTTGAGACCTTAGGTGATGTGGATCAATAGTCAGTCTCAGTGGAGTAGATACTTATTCATTTTCTTATCTTTTACCTTGAGTTCCAAAATGATCTATTTTTTTCAAAGTTTCAATCGCCAAATACTTACTTACGCCTGTTACACCTCGTAGAGGAGCATGGGCTACCCACTGGGATTTTCTATCAATCACCTATGCCTAATAATTTCTGCTACCAGCGATAGTATTGCTACTCTGTCATTTATCTTAACGACTAAATCTCCTTGTTTTGATGTTGCAAAGCAACTTAAACCGATATACATATCCGTCGTGTTCTACATCGCTCATTGTAGTGGACGAGAACACAAATGATGAACAAGCAAATGTATTTGAACACAAAATTACAGAATCTCTTAGTAAATTCTGAGAATCATACAATAAATACTTCATTTGCAAAATGTCAATCAGTTGTCATAGACATGAATGCTCTTTCGTTTCCACATCGATCATTCTTTGTTCTCGTTCTCTTCACTTAGATCTTCTTAACCTTCTACCACCAAGCATTTAACTTTCGATTGATTATACATACTGTTTATATCTGTCAACAACAGAAGCACACACCACATCCATGACAGATAGCAGTGAAATCCAGTTTGATACGCGTTTCGTCCTATTTTGGACTGGTCGGCTGGATATATCTGCATCTCAGAGTTGATGTTCACTCTGGGATTCAAACCCAGTACCGTTTACTTCAAACGCCATCGTGTTATCCACATAGATACTGAGTCCTTGGTTCGAATCCCAGAGTGAACACCAACTCTGAGATGTAGGTATATCCAGATGATCAGTCCCAAATAGGACGAAACGCGCATCATACTAGATTTCACTGCTATCCACTATCCATTTTTACTTAAAAAAGCTTGTGACTTAAAGCTATATCAAAACAATCCGCTCAGGATACATATATGTCAGCATGAAACTTATCAACTGCAGTCTTAATCATCGATGGGATGATTCAAGTAAAACAATATCAAGTGTAGTATAACATTTTTTCTCAAAAATTCATAGAAAGAATCTGAAAGAACAGAATAAGGTTATTCTATGGTTGAATTTTATTTAAACTTACTTTTAAACTCATTAATTCATATTTAATGAGATAGGCAATTGCAATCACTACGGACTGATTAAACATACATTTTGAAATAATTAAAACACGTTGTCCTCTTAATCGTTTTTCTTCTAAAATAAAAAAAAATTTTTTCAATTTTTGTTTTTCAAAAAAAAGAAAGAATAATTTGAATAAAATTGAAATAAAAGTGGTGAGATCTATAATTTATGGACGACCTTGAAGTGACGCTAAAGAGTGACCCTGAGGATGTCCACCTACTTGCTTACTTACTTACTTACGCCTGTTAATACCAATGGAGTATAGACCAACGACTAGCATTTTCCAACACATTCTGTCTTGAGCCTTCTTTTCTAAATCTATCCAATTTTTGTTCGTTTTTCTAATGTCTGTCTCCATTTCATAACATAATGTGTTCTTCAGTCTTCCTCTTCACCCACTTTGACCTTGAGGATTCCATGTGAGGACTTGCCTTGTGACGCAGTTGGATGCTTTCCTCAATGTGTGTCCTATTCACTTCCAGCACTTCTTCCTCATTTCTTCCTCCACTGGGATCTGTTTGTTCTCTCACACAGTAGGTTGTTGCTGATAGTGTCCGGCCAACACATCCGAAGTATTTCACGTAGACAACTGTTAATAAACACCTGTATCTTTTGGATGATGGCTTTCGTAGTTGTCCAAGTTTGTGTCCCATACAGTAGAGTTATCTTGACATTTGTATTGAAAATCCTGACTTTGGTGTTAGTTGACAGTTGTTCTGATTTCCAGATGTTTTTCAGTTGTAAATATGCTGCTATTGCTTTGCCAATCCGTGCCTTCACATCTGCATCAGATCCACTGCGTTCATCGATGATGCTGTCCAGATATGTAAAGATTTGTACATCTTCCAAATCTTCTCCGTCAATCGCAATTAAAATTGGTACATGCTGTGTTGCACCGGAGAATCTTGCTTTTCCCTCTGTGTATATTGAGACCTATTGTTATTGAGGCTGCTGCTACACTGGTCGTCTTCTCATGCATTTGTTGTTGCGTGTGTGATAGAAGAGTCAGATCATCTACAGAGTATAGATCATCCAACTGCATCCTAGATGTCCACTGTATCCCGTGCTTCCCTTCAGATTTTGACGACTTCATGATCCAATCGATCCATAAATTATAATCTCGCCGAATAATTACTAAAAAGCCTTTAAAACTCATGGATGATTGCCTACAGTTTAAAAGTGATGCAACAAATGAAATATTGATCCGGAGATCATACACAACATTACAGAGTTTTCAATGAAGGAAAACTACAACTAATATTTCTCATGATTATAATAGTGATATCAAGACTAAAATACTAATTATCTAAACTAGTCACCTTGTTTTGTATTTATCAGCGAATCCCATTGTTCAGTATACTAGGAATTTACACTTTTGTACTAGTGAACACCTTCCAGAGTAGTCAAGGAAATAGATTGATCATGGCAGTAATTTTCTGCCAAATGACGGAAGAGATAGGCATTCAGATTAAAGAATTTGAGGTATGCTTGAAAAGAAATTTGTCCAAGCTTTTCTCTTACATTGGCCAATCTCAGACTCAATAAGTCAATAGTAATTCTTTATTATAAACTGACATAGTTCGGTTGATATTCACACAGCTTTCTGATTTTTTTTAGTTTCATAACTTTAATTCTTCTTATTCAAGTATTATTGGATAATTATTACTATTATTATCCATAATCTTTCAACTAGATGTACAATCTAGATAGTTTTCATTCCTTTGTACTATAGCTTACTTGATTCAAAATACTCAATAAGTTGTGTAACCTGCCATTTATGATCTAAAACTACATTAATGTTTCTCTCATCCTACGCTGCTTATATTTATTCTGATTATTAACTAACATATAAACTCATTCAAGCGGACATGGTTTATTATTCATCTCAATATTGACTATTTTATCTTATGAACAATCTTGAATTCATACGTAAGAATTTTCAAACACATTCGTTTTAAGCTTGATCACTTCTTTGGATCATTAGCCTGAATGTATGACTTCAGAACCTGACGAGAATTTCTCGAGACGAATATTCTTCCTTCATATATCTGTGTTCTAATATGATGGGAAATTTTAATGGTTACATAGACCCCTATCCTATCATCTGAATATTCGTGTAAATACAATATCAACAATAATAAGTCTCATTTTATGTGAATGCCTGATCATAGTTCGAGGTATCGGTTGTTATTAGCAACAAGGTAAGTGTTACAGCTAGTTACATCCTCTGGATCCAAAGATTTGAGCTATATAATATAATTTCTTTAATAAAAACTACTTAGTCCCTGAGAACCGTAGAAGAATTGGAAAGAAACGAAAGGTGATCAGTTTACAAAATGGTCAGAGTTGGGAATCCTTGTATTTATTTATTTATTTGAAAACATAGATATTGGCACAAGAAGACATCAAATACATATGCGCCACATAAATGTCATTTGATTTGTGCGAGCGTTGTGATACTGCCCGGGTGCCCAAACCGAAGCAGGTGGTTTTCTTAGGGGGCCACACCCGGAGCCTTCGACCTAAAGGTCTGATCCAAAAGGCAGTGGTGCATCGTGAGGAGATGCGGTTCCATGGTAGCCGGTGACCAAAGATTGATTCTTACGCCATTTGTCCCCTCGGGCAGAATACTGTAGCCCATGTGCACCATTGGTTTGGAATCAGGGTTTTTCAACTTCCCTAGATGAAGTCTCCGTGTCCACCAACCCGGTTAAAGCCTCCATCGGACATTAGCTTTTTATCCTCTTAATTTCGTATACCATCCTTATAATATAACTATATTACTTATGTGTAGCTAGTATTTACTCGTTTCCCTTGCATTTCATTGGTTAAATTAACTGTTGTAAAACTAGCTGTACTCTTATTGATTAACACGTATTTCATTTATACAGCTCTTTTAAACCCTGACATTTTTGAGCTCAACTGTTTAAGAATAGACTGCAATTCTATTTATCAACCTTCATATGAATTTGGTTTAAGCTAATCATGATTTATTGTAGAAACATTTGTTATTTATATATTTTTACGCATAATTATCTTTTAAACAGCAAAGTAATAATAATAGTAACCATTAGAAAGATTGACTTACGAATAAAATCACAAGCGCCGTCCAAAAATGATAACAATTCACAATTTTCAGATGGTTGAATATTCAACATAGAGTCTTTACAATTTTGGTATCTAATGTGAATTGAATCAACAAAGTCATAATATTCACGTGATCCAGCTAGTATTTAATACCATTTACATAATAATATATCAGAATAAGTTGTTGATGAAGTTCTACCTGGTTGGAATCTGCGAGATGATAGCAATCGATGGTTGTAGACCTTGAATGACATGGCTCAAGATCGTTTGCCATGACGCAGGTGCATCCACTCTTTGTGTTCTCTTAAACCCTAATCTTCTGAATTCTCCACATCCGTTTTCTTTTTCTCTTTCCAAATTTGTTTCGCTGGATTATACTCCATAAATAACATCTTCAAACCCTAATGTTTCCGATTACTGCTTATACTCTTACTGCCACTACCACTATGGGATTTGAATCTACAACTGCATCTCTGTGCTAACGTGGTATGGCAACTCAAACTGGTGTACGTACGTACGAAGTCCTACGTTGTTACTGACTGAGTGATTTAATTTTAATATGATTAATTCAAATAACGACTGAATATTGAAGAATACTGATGGCATACAACCTGTAGCATTATAACACTAACTTATTAAACACTAAGAAGATCAACTAGTTCCTGACTAACGTTTAGATCAATAAGCTGTTTAAAACATGAAATATTGTCACAGTGGCATAAATGGTTCTCGAGTAGACGATATAAGTAGTCATGATTGCATAATACGAACGAAGCACTAAAAAATATAAAACTACGTAGTATTATTCAAGTACCATCAATTACATTTTGACGATGAAATCTAGTTAGAAGAATAGGCAAGTGAAATTCCAAACAATTCCAGTGGGTAAATTTTGTTAGTTTAATCTATTTTCTTAACAGTTAAGACATTATTGCGATTTGTGAAACTTCACGAATTTTTATTCAAAATAAAGAACAGATTTGGTTTATGATAAGTTTTACCAACAATCATTTTAATATATCGCTTAGAATTTCCAATATAAATTAAGGTTGACTGACAAACATATTGGAAATGAGATAGAACCTGACATACATTCCACACCGTCGACTAGATTACCTTTACAGATTATGGCTTTTAACTGGAACGACAAGAAATCTGCAGTAAATGGCTTCATTAGGGAGTATGCAAAAAGTTCGTTAAATCATCATACTTAATGTATATTTTACTGAATAAAATTTACTGAAGCTTTGCTCAAATGCTCTATTTGTAAGCAGATATAGAAACACTAAGGCTTGTTGTATCAAAACAACTACAAACGTATCAAAACAAGAGTGGTAAGAGTTGAACTAGCACCACAATTGGTTAATAAACCGGAACTGGAAAAAATCATTCTACATTCAACTTTTTCATGTAAATCAATTTTGATTGGTTTATTGTATCAAATTTTGTTAAGTTAGAACAACAATGAAAAATAATGAAATCAGTTTGTCATTCACAAACCCACATAGGATCATCATCATCTAATGCACAATTTATATGCGCTACAATATTCATTTGTCTATGAAGTTTACGATCACCAGCATGTTGAATTGTACCAATGTATAAAACATTTGGCAAAACTTCCAAAGGGTAAGTAGAAAACGATTCAAGCTCCTTAAGATATAAAATTTTGAAAAAAAGAATGTTATCATTTCCATAAATTATTAGCTATTAATTTATCAAAAAAATTTTGGATTAGCTTTGTAGCTTTAAAGTAAATCACTCAATAAACATAGAACAATGATGCACATCTTGGTAATTATTCATAAAAATAACTAAATAAAGGTGCTCAGTAATTATTCTTGACTATTTATCAGGAATATGTACGTGAAAAAACATTTGCGTTCATCAAGTAATCAGTGTAATATTTTCTAGCTTGCCCACTTCTGTGCACAATCAAATAAAACATTCATTATCGTCCTCTTTTTATAACCTTTATAGTATATTGAGTTCAATACAGTAAACAGTTTAGTGTCCTTAATATTCAATTAAGTTATTCTTTAAATTCACTAGTTTTAATATCATTGGTAAGTATATAACTATTCTTTATACAAGATATGTAAAGTATGCTGTAAATTTCAGTCAAAACATTTCCCCAGCATACTATCACTTCACATTGTTATACGTAAATACTTGTGCTAATTATTCCATACTTTTCTAAACTTCAAAAAGATTATTGTCACCTAAGTAATTACTATCCTTTTGTTTGGTCAAGCGATTTCGGAATTTTTTTTACATAATACTTGTTTTCATTCTTCGTTAAAGATACATAAAAATGATGTCCGAAACTTAAGGGTGTTGTATTTATCCGACTGATTATATTAAAACAATGACTGTGAATAAAACACTAGATGATAAACTATGAGGTTATGGGTTTGTATTCCATTTGATTTACTTCAGTTTAAACAACTAAGACTAATCATTTAGTAAAGTTGCACTTCCTGAATTCAATCGCTTATTCGTAAATCCCATATTACATTTCCAGATAAAACCATCAGTTTTTCGTAGTGTAGTATCTTGCACTACTTCACACTTACATGATTCATCCTAGCTTCTGTACAGAATTTAATAACTCAGACAGAAAGTGATCAACAACTTATTTTTACCATCACGATGACGCTACTCTTTGCAGGAAATTGTGATTTTCAGAAAATATACGTCTTATATTCATGTCTTTGTAATCCCATGCCTATGCGCATTATGTGCATGTTTGTCATTCATGATTTTATTCAATGCCTGTATGTTACACTAAACATAGCCTGTTCTCAGCTATGTTAATGTTTGTAGTAAGTAGTATAAGTGAGTTGACACCTTTGCCTTATCCGCTTTGCATTAGTTTTCCTGATTATCATATTAGTGCCTGCATAAATAAGTGTTTGAAGTTGTGGTAAAGTTGCATCACTTTTTTTGTGCTTATAAATCGTAATTGATATATTATAACATTAACTTTTGAACGTAATGACTCTATTGTCATCTTTGAGTTAATGTAATTTTTGGTCCACCATAAAATAAACCTATCGACCTTAATCCACATTCGGCGTCGTATTACCGTCGACACACAAATGGAGTTAGCCCAGATGCAATATACGAAATTAACTGGAGGATTTCTATTCATGGCAGATTCTTTTATTCAAATTGGAGTCAGATAATCGGGACACAATATGGTTGAAACGAAAATACAATAAAAATTAGTGACAACCATAATCTCAAAATTGTAAAATCGAGTCTTACTCGTGGTAAGTACATTATCTTATCACTTCTCATGTATGGATATAAACGAGTAAATGTCTCAAATCCTCCTAAATATAAAACGTAAACTACTGAAACTTCGTTTACAAACCTTCAAGTATTTTAACTAGGTGGCGGCTCCCGTTATCATACAAAAGCTTTCCAGATCTAACTGCATCCCCTGAAAGACTCAATGATTTAAATAAGAGAAATCATAGGTACACCTTCAGATTCTAATGATGATGTATTCCCATCATAAACAATGACATTCCATCTGCATTCAAGTTCTGCCTCATAAGGAATTCTGAAAGAACAAACATTCAACTAATAAATTAGTTAAAACATTTAAATACTCTTTTCAAATTTTTAGCTGTTATAATATGTGACTTATTATAGTCTTCGGCACTTCGTGAGTCTTAAACACATCAAATGAATATATATATGAGTATTACCAAACAGGACACAATAACATGGATCACTTATGAAAGCGTGAGTAAATTTCTGATTCAAAATGTTATACAGTTCACTTGGTTTTATAATCTCTAGTTTGGCCATGTTGAAATAACGCGTCCAAATAGTTATGACTATCAAGGTCAAATATAGTAATCAGTCTTCAGTAATAAGGACAGTAGGTCGATGGACCTGTGTTAATTTTGACAGTTCGCCTTCCAATGAAGGTTCAGCTTCTCCTTAAAAATGTTCACTGATGCGGCTGACACCATTTTTTCGGGTAAGGCGTCCCAGTCATTGACCTCTAGATGGGAAAAACGAAACCCCACTTTAAGTTTATTAGGTGTTGGTTTATGGGCATTCCTGCTACGACCTCGAAGATAATTGTTGCTGGAGGGAGCGAAAAAATAAGACACATTACCACCCAAATCGTAATTAAAGACACGAAATGCCAATATAAGATTACATCGCGACCTATGGTATGACAAGGCTAAAAGGTTTAGGCGTTTTAAGTGCTCATAGTAAGGAATTTTGAAAAAGCCCTTCAATAATTTTGTTTCCACACGCTGAAGATGCTCAAGCGAGCTGGTATCCGTAGTCATACGTGAGACAGATGCTTGGATACAGTAGTCTAAGTGTTAATATAGGTAGGTGGGATATGAAATTCGAAAAATCTTGCCAAACCATTTGAATGCACGGCAAAGTGACCATAACGCACGAAATCCTTTGATAGTTTTTGCGTCGCAAGGCGTAGTTGTTTTCAAGTCGTGGCTCATTATTACTCCTAAGTCTATGTTCCTGCAGGCATGGAGATCAAAACAATCAGTCTCACTTCTCATTATTCTCCAGAGTTCGACATCATCCGCAAAAACTAATGTCGACGACTTAAGCGAAAGCGGTAATTCATTAACTTGGAGAAGGAAAAGTAGAAGACTTAAGATGGTGCCTTGAAGCATAACATTTGACTATCTCCCATGCAGATAGAGTCCAATTTATCCTCAGTCTCTGTCTGCGGTGACACAAGAAGCTTCCTATCCACTCCTGCACGGCACCTGTTATTCCGAAGTTCGAGAGCTTCTGCAAAAGACCTAAATGTAGAACCTTGTCAAATGTTTTGCCAAAGTCTATGAATATCGCACTAGTGGACAGACCGTTATCCATAGCTTCTATCTAATCCACTCTCTCAACAAGGAAGTTGGCCAAGCATGAATGCTTGTTTCAAAACACGTGTTGCTCGGGCGTTAACATATTGTAAGATTCTATGTGACTTAGTAACTTAACCCGAATTATCTTTTCAAGTAAGTTGACGACTATTCTGGTTAAACTGACAGGTCGGTAGTTGGACATGATCTGTCTCTGACCATTTTTAAAAATAAGACTGAATAGAATCGTTACAATCTGGAGGGAGTCGAGTGTGGAAAAAAAGACATGTTGAAGAGCGTCGCGAATGGTCTTGAAATAATGTCCACGAGAGATGACAGCAATCGTGGTTGTAACCCATCAGGGTCCGGTATCTTACAAGGTTTGAGGTTGGTGCTCAATGGAAGAACAGCTTCTTCAGTGACGTGTACAGGTCCTATGGCTAGTATTTCAGTGGTGTGATTAGGACAAGTACTTTTACCGATATATGTGGAGTAGACTTCTCTGAAATAACTTGATAAAGTCCCATCTTTTGCCAGGTCTGACTCAGCTAGCAACTCTGAATTTTCGTGTGACAGTAATGGGAGAATACGTTATCCATTTCTTATCAGTCGCTGTTGTATCAACTTGACCAACAGTAACCAGTGGTGTTTCATTCATTAATTGTTCCAAGATAGAAATCCCTATTGCGTGCTGCACAGTAGAGTGTTTGGCATGCGCCGAAACAGCACTTACAATACAGACATAATATTCTCCATCAGTACCCATGTAACCAGAACAGCCATCAACTATCGTTTTCTTAACCAACGACACAAGTTTAATTACCTCTTGGATGAGTGGTATTTCGCTCGGACGACAAAGCACACGAAGCCAATGGGAGTTGGTCTTTGAGCAATTTTATATGCAGTGGGATTGAAGCAAATACACATCTTATAGAGTCACTTATCACACCCACCACATTGCCGCACTTCCTCCGCGAGGAATAAGCAACACGGATGCCCACAATTATGAGCTGAGTTGACCATCTTAAAAACCAACTAAAAACCGCAATACGTAAGTGGATTTAAAAAAATTCAAACCTTAGCCGAAATAAATCAGGTCGAAGTCCACCAAGTATGTTTTGATGTAATAAATACATAAAACGAAAATCAACACACACAAGTGCGAAATTCATTCGACTGAAACAAATTCAATTAAAGTGGAAACAGTAGTTTTTATATGTGTTTTAACTTGGAGAGGACAAATATCACTGTACTTTGCCAGATATTTCCAACGTATTTACTAGCTTCTCGTGCGTCAAGCATCCTATTAAGTACTAGCGACATGAATATTAGCACGATCGTCAGCCTAAGCAGTCGAGTGACTCTCCCGCACTCTGATAACTACATGATAACAATTATTTTACTCCTGGAGACGGTTCGCAACTCTGTAGTTGACATAAGTTTAAAGTCATATTAACGCTAGTAACGGCTTATTTTCTGGATAGGTGTCTAAAGTTCATTCAACACATCCACACATGTCAATCGTCGTTTTTTACGCTTCAGTGATCGACCTGAAGGAAGTCTGATCATAAGTCTTCAGATAATCTTGTTTAATCTATGATCGTTGCCCAAATATCCATACATCCATCAAAATTTAAAGGTCGCCTTTTTAACCAATTAGTGAGGGTTATGTTCGCCTTATGTATTTTTTCACATTTGTAACTGCATGCTGCCTTATTCCTTATCCACAAACGTCGCTTGATTACTTCACTTAACATTCAGTTGCCGTCAAACTGCAGTTTAGAACTTGCAGTTTGAAGCTAGTATCCCAAGGATACATTCTTGTTTGCCACATTCATCTTCCAGCAAGAGTAAGCATTTGTGATCATCATGCCTTAGAACGGTTTCGATTTGGACAGTAGCGCTGTAACCTTATGTATCAAGTCCAAGTGGATAAATTGGTGGCCGTGTAGAATAAACGTTATCTGACTGAAGAAATGCATCGAAGACTAGAAATTTACATGTTAGGCCAATTCTGTATATTAATCTGTGGCGCGCAAGTGATTGGTTCATGTTAGTTGTTCCTGATCTTGATAACGTTCTGCAAAGTGTCTAACACTTAATAATCTGCCTGGTGAAAGACGTGTATGACTTAAGCAGCCAATAAACCCTAGGGTTTATGTTACTGATCTTGCCAGTGGGATGTTTGTTCATGTACTGCTTTCTTCTTTTGCAACTTAATATTTAACAGCCAATATCATTGGCCAATCAATATTCATACCAACGAACAAGAAGGGACGGAGGACGTTTTACACGAGAGATATCAACGTTATTCGCCCTACGCTAATACTCACAACCTTGAGAGATCTGTCAAACCCAAACACTCGTTCAGCAGTTTTAAATTGTAGTTCGTTTTTCAGGAGTAATAAGATAGTGTGTAGTGTTGCGATTGCGAGTATTAAAATATTTCTGTTTTTGAACTTCATTTTACAGACTAAAAAATTATCCGGTGAGCACAATTTGTACTTTGCGTAATTTACCCAGTTGCACATTGAATATATAATTAGTGTGTCCTAGTTACAGCTGATTCTAATCACTAATATCCAAAATCCGCGTTATTATCTTTGAAGCATATAGTAATATGGTGTCTTAAAGCAGTTGTCGTCTGTTACTTCATTATACTTAGTTTACACGCGCAAATTTATCTCGCCTATGACCTTGAAAATGGATGATTTTTTGAAAATTCGTCTAATTTCTGCTTCGATGATGTGATGACTGAAAATTAAAAGATACTCCATGGATAATCATGAAGACAACTTGAGGTCATTAATTGAAGAAGCGAGTGTCACCAGGAACAGTTCTCATCTTCTTCAAGGCAAAGCAGATACTTCAGTAGATCTTCCAACATGTCTTTCCAAACGAAGTGATTTACCACCTATACAAAAACATGAAAGGCGATTTTCAAGCCATTCAGAAAAAAAGTCAGTCACATTTTCGTTTTCAGGCAATGAGCGAAGCAATCATATACTAAATGGTGGGTACTGTTTTGTGAAATATCCTTAAACATGTTTCTTGTATTTTAAATTAAACAGTTGCAGGGATATTCTTACTTTTTTTAGTTTCGGCGAATCACTAGTTAGTATTTCAGTTCATTCATACGGCAGCCGATTACTGTTTATGATCATGAATTGGTTTTGGCGATATGAGATTAGTAGTTCTCTAACTCATGCTTTTATTAATGAAACGTTTTTTATCCTGTTAGTTTCATTTTAGGGCACAAAATCAGGTGATAGATTAGTCCTTTTTAGTGCTTCAGGTCTTTTTCAAGATACATTTTCGGTTTATTGAATGTCCTTCAATTCCTTGAATGCTTTAGCCATAGATTTTCATCTTGATTTAACTTAAATACATATTTTACCACAATAATATGACAGGAATTGTGTTTTTGTTTCATTTGTCATTCCATAATCTTGAGGCACTTGTTTTATCGCAAAATCACAAGAGAAAACTAATTGAAAAAGATGTGTGTATTCATTTTCTTACTAATATATATTTGATAGCTTGGAAAATTATGAATTTCACATAAATGTTAACATTTTAAGATTTAGGCTCACATGCTGTATTTTAATTCAAAGGACTTGTTAGAACAGCGATAAGGTTTTGGGAAACAAGAAGTATGACCATCAGTCACTCATATCCAGTGTAATTTCATTTGGACATATCGCGGCTAGTTATTTAAGTTCATCCTTCTGTGATATTTAAAATATAATTCCAAACCTTTTGTCAGGAAAAGACAATGTCGTGTATTATATATGTATGTGAAAATATTGACAGATGATTTACCACTTGTTTCTTCATATTTTCAATTCTGTAATATGCGAAGGAAATACTCAACACCTCAAATTATGATGAAACTGTCTAGTTCAAGACCAACACTGCTCGCAGTTAACGCCTAATATAACAGGGGAGATGAAATTACTTATT